CCTCAGGCTTCTCGTCCCTTAAGAAAATATAAGAATATACATTCAGCCCGTTTTGCTGGGTTGTTGCTTGAAGCAAAAGAAAGGTTGTGAGACCTTCTGAGTAGCACATAAAGTGTAAGCCAAAACACTGTAACTTGTTCCTTGTCTGGTTGCCATCTGGAAACTAAGCTGTGGAATGTCTAAGCTACTTGAGTTTCTCTGCTAACTGGTTAAACGAAGTCAAACTTTAGCAAAGGGGCTGGGAGATGTCGGTATGCTTGCTACTTTCATTACCTTTTGGCAGGGTAATCCTCGGGCATATTGTTTTGCCTCTGGAGCCTTAGGGGTCTCTGTGTCTGTTATGGTTTGAATTTGAAATGTCCCTCTCAGGCTCATGTTCAGAGTGCTTGTTCCTTGGATGCCGGGCTGTTTGGGGGTGGGGTGGGGTATGGAGTCATTAGGAAGTGGGAACTGGCTTTCAAAGTAGCTAACCGAGGAAGAGGCTTTGAAGGTTATTACCAAGTTCTGGGTTCCAGATGCTTCCAGCTTCTAGGTTCACCTCAGCAACAGCAGCCACTGCCACACACTTCTGTTGTCATGAACCATGAGGCTCACCTCCTTAAAATGTACACAGTGACAGGTTCTGACATGGATACAGCGCAGAGATACTACCAGTCGGGGCAATGGCATCATGACTTGCTACCCCACCGCAGAGACGATCATGTGTGCTCTGTACTTCATTCTCCTGAGGTGACTCACTATCATCTTTGCTTCAAGGTCCACAGCTCCGTGTCTTCTAAACCCCTCCCTGCTCATGGCATTTCACCCTCATTGTTTCTCCTCACCATCTGCTCCGGCTGATTAATGATTATGCTTTGGCATGTTTTTCTTCCATCTCCATGCTTGGGTTTTTATTAGGTTTCTTCTATGTGTGGATACACAGCTTTCATCTAATTTGGAATATTCTTTTCCAGTATTTCTTCAGGCTGATGTGTTCTCCTCTCTCCTCTTGGTCAGGACCTCACTTACCATTATAATAGGCTGTTGACATCTCACGGCCTTTCTGCTTCTAGAATTTGCTGTGTCCCTCTCTGCAGAGCTTCCCCTGCTTGCTAGCCAAGCACACTACTCTTTTCTTTCATGTCTTACATGTCTTCATCCCCTACCCAATATTCTTCACAATAGACACTGCATTTTCATATAACTTCGTGTCAATATATGCGTGCATCTCTCACGATTCTCTTTGAATATATGGAACAGTTAATGTCTGTGCTAATTCCACCACCAATCTGCCAATTCCAATTCACTTCCTCATTGTGAGTCACACTTTGCTACTCATTTCTGTGCCCAATAACTTTTGTATTTGATGCAAAACATTATACATTTTATCTTGTTCGGTGTTTGTTATCTACACAGTCCTGTAGGAATTTACGGAGGCTGAAACAGTGCTAACTCTGAGACAATGCTATGCTTTCTTCTGTAATATCTGTAATATAATCGGCTAGCTGGTAGGCACAGGCATTGTCCCCTGCTATGGGTGTACACAGAAATGTTTCCTCTAATCCCTTTGAGTGGTCCTTTCTGCAGTCTCAAACAGCCAGCTTCCTTGCAGACTGTGCACCCAGCTGAACTCTCAATCTAAATGGAAATAAGTAAGTTTTTTAAAGCAAGGCACATTGTCAGAGTCATATGCAGGTCCTTGTGCTAGGGGTACAGAGAAGCCTGACATTCCAGTTCTACCTGTTTGCAAGAGATGGCCAGCCCAGCTGAAGGTGGGCGCTCCAGAAGAGTCTCCTATGAGGACAGAAAGGGAAGGAAAGAGAGTCTAGGCAGAGAGAATACCACAGGAAGGCTAGCTGGAAGGCTGGGCATACTCTGGACCTGAGGCAGTAGCAAGCATGTTAGAAAAGCCCAGCTGGACCGTATGTGGGAGAACTAGAACTGGTTTCTTGAGGATCTGGGTTTGAGACTAGAAAGTTAAATGGAATTCAAATCTTTCCTTGTGTCTGAGGCCCCTTGTAAATGTGGGTCAATGACATGATGACATTCCTGTTTTAGAGAGAGTCAGATTTGAACCATTATTATTTATTTGCCATGTGATGTGTGCGATATGCTAACAGCTTTAATCTAAAAGGGTCTTTAGGATCTCGATCTTCTTAAGTTGGGATAGACTGTATGTTAGGAATTGCGTCTTTGGTAGGCTGTTTCTCAGTCCATTAAAGAAACACCAGATGAATAAAGGAAAAAAAAAGAAGGTAGGAGAGAAGTAGAATGGAAGAAGAAAGAGAAAGAAAGGAAGGGAGGGAGAGAGGAAGCAAGGAAAGAGGGGGTATTTGGTTAAGAACTTGTTCTCATGAACTTGCTCTCCATTCCCAGTATTTGGGGCGGGGATACTCCTCCTTCGTGGGAGGAGGCGAGTGAGACTTCCTATTCCACTGTCAAGTGATCATTCATTATGAAATGCTCCGCACAGAAAGAAGAAAAAACTCTGAGAATACAAGGCGCACTCTGTGAAAGAGAAACAAACCCTCTAGGTAGGCAGGCACCCGCGGCAGGGGAATAAAGGGGGAAGACATTTCTAACACTTAGTAGATGGCACTCATTATCTCCAGAAATGATGTTTCGTGGAAACTAGGGTTATCTTTAATATGATATAACGAGCAGGGGCTTTTGAAAGGAAGAGCAGAGAGCTGGCAATTCCTCTGGGGCTGATGTGTGCTCAGCCAATATAGCTGCTTGCTGCCAAGCATGACGACATGATTCCCAGAATCCCTGTGGTGCGGAGAACTGATTCTGCTAAACTGGTCTCTGAACTCCACACTTGCACCGTGGCAAGCACACACACCCCCGACATGAAATAAATGCATAAATGTTCAAACATTTGAACTGGAGTCACGAGAACGCTCAGCAAGTTGTGCTGACAGGGAGGACGGGGGAAGAATTTGGGTGGCCATTTTCTCACTGTCCATGGAGGAATAGGGATCTGGGTTACAGAGAGGGCTAGGCGAACAAGATGAACAGGAGAGCAGACAAGACACCAGTGTTTGGAGAAACAGACCTGGAGTAAGTGTTGCTATCCTGGTCCTTGACAGTTTTCCAATTCCCCATTCCCCTCTCCCTGGAGGCCTCTCTAGACTTCCTGACTTTGGTTTCTATAAATTACACTTGTATTCTTTTAAAAACACCCCTTTTCTGGCACACACCAATCTGACTAGGATACTATTATTTGCAACTAAACGGTCCTTGACCAGAAGAAAGCAAAAAGAAAAAAATTTTCAAAAACACTAAACACAAAACAAAACAAAAACTCAGTTGCAGCATAAGCTTGTTTTGAGAGTCCACTGGAGAATAGCTTTCCCTGTAGGGCCTCTTGATTTCCCACCGAAGATACATAGAAATTAAGGGATTTAGAAATGGTTCACAATAACATTGAAAATCGAGTCTGGTAGTCAGCTCTCTTCCGGATCCAGCTTAACCTCTAAGTGGCATTTGTGCCCGTGGGATAGTGTCCCTTTCTTGAAGAATTCCCATCCTCTGGCTCCCGTGGCTATATTCTCATCACTTTCTTCCCTCTCAGCTTCGTCTTTATCGCTTCCTTTGTTTTTTCTCACTTCATGGTTTCCTTAGCTCTGTTCCCATCTTTTTCTCCTATTCTGTTCAGTCAAGCTTAAGCTCACGGTTTCGCACTTATATACCAGCTGATACTGTAACATCTATACGCTTACCTCACACTTAGATACCAGCTGATACTGTAACATCTATACGCTTACCTCACACTTAGATACCAGCTGATACTGTAACATCTATACGCTTACCTCACACTTAGATACCAGCTGATACTGTAACATCTATATGCTTACCTCACACTTAGAGACCAGCTGATACTTTCACAACTCTGCACTTACTTCACAGCCGAGCGTGCTCAGCCACAAGTTTCTTTTAGAATAATATCATTAACTTATAGGAAACCAAAATCGTCTTTCCAACCAAATCGCCCTCGCCTTCTAAAGTTCCAGTTTCTCCATCTATCCAGCCGTGGAAACCAGAAACTTAGGAATTACCGAGAGATGTTTCTTCTTTCTTCTCCTTAGTAGCCAATCAGTTTCCCACACCCAGCTGTAAAGATTGTAGGGAAAAGCCTAGTGTCTCCACTGACAGTTGATGGATTGGCAGGAACATCTGGGGTTTATCTCCCTTCCACATCCAATGTCTCTTGAGAATCCAGGTTCCTATCCCTCCCCAGTGCAACTCCCAGAGCCTGACAAAAACATGAATCTGTTTTTGGAAGTATGTGGATCCTTACATATGTGCTAAAGTAAAGAGCGCTAGTGACAGTAAGTAGTGGGAAGTGAGGGTGTTTGAGTGCTTGGAGATTGAGTCCAAGATCTTGTACATGTTAGCTAGCAAATGCTCTACTACTGGACTACACCCCCAGCCTGGGAGCTGGGCTTTAAATGAATGCAGACAGCTAGAAGTACAAGTAAAATTAAACGAACACACATGGAAATATTTTCTTCCCAGCCTAAACTCAGGGGAAAATAATAACATAAAAGCTATAGCTAAAGTTTAAGTAATAAAAATCACATTGTACTCTGGAAAGGCTCTTGGCATTGGCAGCGGTGTGCGGAGCGCTAAGTACAAATCCCCGGCACTGAAACCCGGAGGAGGGGAGAAAGGTTGTCGAATCAAAACAAGTGCACAGGCAATAAAGGAGAGCATACGGGCACATGACGTGAGTTAGGACTGTCTGTGCAGTGAGCCAGGGGCTGGAAGAACACAACCCAGAAAGCTACGCTTTGAAGTAAAGAGCAGAACAACTCTGGTGCACGATGGAGTCACAACTAAACAGGTCTACACATGGAGCCTGACAGCAGTGCCGGGCTGCGCAGACCTCAGAACGAGCAAATCTCATCCTAGGCATAGGAAATCAGACAGGAGACTACTTGTATTGTATTTGACTGTATTCATTGTGCAAAATTGTGAGTTTTACTGTGTCAACTTCAGGTGCACACATGCTCACTTTGATCAGTCCATCCCTTCTCACTCTCCTCCCTCAGCCTCCTTTCTCTTCTTCAATAATAATCCCCCTTCTGTTTTCATGGTTTCCTCTGGTCCCTCTAGATTCCTGCTGAGTCTGGAGTATTTCTGTGTGGGCAACCCTTCATGGAATAATACGGATAAAATAAGGACAGTCTTCAGTCAACAGTGTGCGTAGAGTTGGCCAACCAAGGAAGTTCTTAGAGGAATGGGAGCGAACAACCCAATAGCTTAAATGCAGCAAAATGAACCCAAGGAAAAGAATCAATTAGAACAAGTTGGGACTGGCGGGACAGCTCGGTGGGTAAAGCAATTGCTGTGGAAGTAGGGGTACCTGAGTTCCCTCGGCCAGAACCCTATAACCGCAGCACAGGCTCGGAGGAGGTAGGCAGATCTCAGGGGCTCATTAGTCAGTTGCTCTAGCAAAAAATGACAGGTGTTGGGTTTAGTGAAAGACCGCGTCTCGCTAAAATCAGGTTGAAGACCTTGACTTCTGGACCCCATATGCATGTTCACAGGTACACACACACAGAGAAGTTTCTTTAAAAAAGTCACAAAGTGTTGGGAGTATAAAAATTTAGGGGGGGGGAGATGTTGGGAGCAGTGAGACCCCAGATCCTGAATTTCTTGTAAACAACTTGTTTTCCCCTGATCTGAGTGCCTACAGCTGCTCTGAGCACGAGACCTTCAGGAGTTCCTGATGGCAGGAGAGTGGTTTCTGGTGGGTTTTGCTGGGGCGTGGCTATCTCTATATAATCTGCCCCTGAACACAATAAAGGGGGCATTCTTGGGGAATTCAAGGATGACCCATGTCGTTGTCTCTCTGTCTGTGTGTGTCTGTGTATTTCAACCTCCAGCCCCTTGCCCGAAGCTCGCGAACTGGGTGCCAGTGCACAGAGCGCAGACACGGGGATGCGGTGCGCGGCAACAAAGTAGTTCAAATATTTCCTTTTTTAAAGCGGGAACTTTTTAAAGAATGTATTTTAAAAAATATATAGTGGAGATTCATGCAATGCTGCTTGCCATGGCTACAATCCTGGGCCACAAGTCCACACACTCCTTTCCAACTGGTCCCGTGATGGCAGAGCTTTTTCGAGACAGGGTTTTTCTGTGTAGCTTTGGAGCCTGTCCTGGAACTCGCTCTGGTAGACCAGGCTGGCCTCGAACTCAGAGATCTGCCTGCTTCTACCTCCCAAGTGCTGGGTTCCTCCTACCTTTATTATTTACTGTGACCCCTGCATTATCTTCAGAATAAAGAGACACCTCATTTTTTTCTCCACTGTGACTTTCGTTGTCAAATTATCACTCTGGGTGGACCTTTTTCACAGCTGTGCTTTACCTAGCTTGACTGTGACCAACGAACGCCTTGTCACCCACTAGCGGCAGGAAACCCTGTTCAGTGATCCCTTGGTGTCCTTTATGGAAATGACAGACACATTCGGTTTCTGTGTTGCCAGCACACAGTTGATCATGGCTCCTTTCCCTTGGAAGACCTAGGGAAATCGATTTCTTGAGCCCCTAGACAAAAACAAAACAAAACAAAAATTTAATGCTCAACAATTTGATTTCATCTTTCACACTGTCACTAACACTAAATTTGAGAATCACTAAGTGTGAAAACACTAAGAGAAGTCACACCGCAGTCTGAAGTTCTTGTCCTGTTGGCGACGGGAGAGAAAATAAATATCGATTGATTCTACATGATTTTGAGGAGAAAAAAAAAGCAAACAAACACTTGAAAGCTAAATGAATAAAGATAAGCACTGTTTGAAGAGAAATGGATTTCACAAGGGTAGAGCGGTGGGAACAAGATGAGCCAAAACCTGTACCCTTCAAACAAATGGTGCAAAGAGATGAAGCAGGAACACAGCAAGGGTAAAACAGAAATAAATATAAGAATAGAGCGGAAAATGGCCAGTATTAAAATACATAGAAGTTGAAACCATACAATTAACAAGAATGTTCAAATACTAAAAAGAGGACTCCGAGTTCAATAAACAGGAATGATCTGGCTTTTTAACACAATAGACATGGAACAATTGCAGATGAATTCAGTCTGACCAGACAGGGAAAACCCTGAGTGATCCTCTGTGAATCATACTCAGTGGCCACAGTAGCAGAAAACAGACAGTTAGTGACAAAATAGAGCATAGAAAAAGGCTGTGTATTCTCACATTGAAACAAAACAAATAAAAAATGAGCTAATGTAATTTGTGTACCTAATAACAACTGTTTAGAATTGAATGAAAATTAAAAAAAAATTGTATGATACTAGTCAATTGGTTCTTGGAAAGAAATTTATGCCCATGTGTGACTTATTAGACGATTAAAACCATTTAAACATTTAAAAATAAATTAGTCTTTCCATCCAGGAATATAGGGGAAGAAGCAATAAAGAGAATACTAGAATGGGATTATCAACAGAAAAACCATAACTTAAGTTGGAAAGCTGCACAAATATCAAATAATAGAGTTGCTAAGTGAAACCAACAGCGCTTCTTTGAAAAAATTCCGTAAAATAATTAAAACTCTGGAAAAAGCAATAACTGGAAGAAAAAGGAAGGCACAAATAGAATTTGAAGTGACAATGGGATCAGAAATAATACTGCACCAAAACATATCACGGGAATTTCATGAACCGTTTTCCACTGGGGAATTTGACGCCTCAATAAGTAAAATACTTGACGAAACTAGAAATGTGTCGAAAGCAGCTCAATCCCGCAGTCCAGTACACACGAAGGTAATAGAGGTGGAAGCCATACATTTCCTAAAAGAAAAAAACAAGGCCGGTTATCTTTATGGGAAGGTTTTAGCAAACCTTCAAGGAATAAATAACGCCCAGCTTAATCAAACGGTTCCAAGCAGGATAAACCGTGGAGGCCAGCCAACCTATTTTGTAAAGTTAAACAGCGATGTCACAACCAGCCTGTGTTCACCATGAGACCGGCCTATAGCGTTTTTCTTGCAGCCTTCATCTTGTTCATAGGTAAGTGGTAGATGTGTTGCTGATTAGAACTCTGGACTTTCTGTTGCCTGTTCTAATCGGCTATTGCTGCTTCAAATAAAATCCCAACTCTTAGAAATGATTCTATAAACATTTGATAGGAAAGTGTCTTGCCCTTGGGGGAATTTATTTGGTTTTATGCTTGGTTTCCATAGGTGTCTGTCTCAAGCATCTTCATGTTCATGGTAAGATATGTAGTGTAGCCACACACTATGAATTATGAGCATTTGTTTGGGAGGGAAAAATGGAGTTAAGGGAAACTGGCTCTAAATTCCCCAACCGTCATCCATCAAGATTCCTTTCCATCTTGGTACATGTTGCAAATACCTTCTAAATGTGCACTGCGGAGAGCGAGACACATGTTAGATATTACAGGACGGCTACTTTGCTTGAGAAACAGTTCTGCCTGTAATCCCAGGGCAATGTGCGCTCTTTGTAGTTTCTCCTCTCTCCTAACGCTGTCTGAGATCATCGCTGGAATGAGAAGTAGCTCTGATTGCTCTGCTGGATGCTTATGAGGCTGGAGGAGGCGGGGGGGGGGGGGGGGGGGGGGGGGAGGGCTTTGTCCAGGACACACACATTCCCAGTTCCTGGAGGAGGCGAGGGGCTTTGTCCAGGACACACACATTCCCAGTTCCTGGAGGAGGCGAGGGGCTTTGTCCAGGACATACACATTCCCAGTTCCTGGCACTTTTTCTTGCCACCTGTTTCTTGTCATTTCGCTTTCTTATCAAAGACCCAGTGATGCCACTTGTGATCAAATAGTGTGGCATGTTTTTTTGTTTGTTTGTTTTTAGGTTTGTTTGTTTTGTTTTTTTGTAGCCCCAGTCTTGAGTTAAAAATCCAAGTCCCACGTCGTCTACTTGTGCGATCTCAAGAAGGATAATTAACTTTTCTATGCCATGAAGCCCTGCTTTGTGAGGCGATATTAATAAAACTATACAGCACAGGGTTATTAGCAAGGATAGATTATATGATGTTAATTAAAAATTTGATATGACTTCTGCCGCACAGCACTTGTTACACATGTGTGTGTGTGAATTTCATTTTTCTTCATTAGTTTTTAGGCTTCTGATGATTGCCTGATCATCAGATTGTCCTGTTGGGCATTTTGCTTTGAATTTAAAAAAAAAAAAGCTACTAAATTTTACAGTCATAAACGGGAGGTATGCACAGAGCTCTGAGCACTTATGCAGCATCTCACGTATGCGTTCTTTCAGGTGGAAACCAAGACTTTAACATCCGTTCCACAGTAGACACTCAGATATGAGCAATGAAGGGGATCTCTTCATGTGTGAACGTTATTAACCAAGTAACCAGCAAGTCTCAGCACGTCTTTATTTAGAGAATATTCACTGCCACAGTTCGGCTTGTGTCTGTATCAAGTCCAGGGAAGAGGCTGAGCAATGTATTAGCATCCCCGTTTCCTAAGTGAGGAAAACAAGGCACAGGGACTTTCAGGAGCTGCCTGGGTACCGCAGTTAGAACTCGGAGCTCACGTTTGCTGATTTTAGTTTGTTTCTTTACTCTTTTGCTTTGCTTGGGTGTCTTGTGCTTTGGGACGGTGTACGGCCTCAATGAATGAGGCAAGGATGTTATTTGAGAGTAATTTGTAGTCTCTGGTAAAAATTGCTAACTCTATGCTCTGTCGAGTTGGCTTCTGCAGATCCCCCCGCAGGTGTTCAAGAGCAGCAAAGCAAGAACACTGGCTGCAGCCCCGTCGGGCGACTGAAACTTGGAAGCAGCGTAGCGTCCATCTGTAGGTGACTGAGTCAAGACCCAGTTTCCTTGTGGGATGAAGTGTAGCACAGCGTTGAAAACAATGCTCATAAATGTGCTATTGAATGAAAACAAATGTATAAGGGCACATGAGATTTACATGTATTATAAATGCAGGGTAGCATTCATAAAACACGTTAAAAGTTGAATGCTGTATACTGTTTTAAAATACATGTATTTGCAGTAATGTTGAATACCTTTAAGAATGCATGCCAATATAGTATAGTATTTGCTTCTGGGAGGAAATGGGGAACCTGACAGGGAGAGAAAGATCTCATCTTATATACCTTTCTTCTCTTAGATGTAAAATTCAGAAAGAAATAAACAAATGTTAACATTTCCCTACGTCTACCATTGGTCACATGGATATGATTCATTCCTTCACTATTTCTTTTTGATATATAATTTCAGTTTTTCAAAATTAAAAAAAAAATAGAGCAAGTTAGAAAAATGTTAGGAGTTGAGTATGTCAAGCGGTGCCAGGCATGGGCTCCCTCTCGTGGAGTCTGCCTTAAGCCAAATCAGAGATCGGCTGGCTTTTCCCGCAAGTTCTATGCTACCGTTGCCCTAGCATATTTTGTAGGCAGATCATAGGTCAGAGGTTTTGTGGGAGACTTGGTGTCCATACTTCTCTTTCTGTAGCCAACAGAGAAACAAAGAGACTAGAAGACAGGGATGAAAACTCCATGTAGACACCAGCTCAACTTCCCTGTTTTCCACGAGTTGTGTGGGTGTTGCCCTTGGCAATGTGTCCCCACTCCCCCGTTGGTTTTCTGAGAACCAACCCTTTGTCTTAGCAACAGCCTGGTTGTTTGAGAATTTCCAAGGGACCCCTTGGCCAACAATCGATTGAATGCAACTCAGTCCTGTATTGGAAGGCTCACCTGGTGACAAGACATGAGCAGTTAAGAGTCCATATCTTTCATCGCTCGTTCTCATCAGGGTCACATTCATGGGAATTTCCCAATGTACTGGGCTTCCACACTGCTGACTAGATGCCCTCCAGTTCCAACTGGCCGTTTCCGAGCTCCCTCTCTCTACTCCTAGAACCAGAGATCTAGGGTAAAACCAAACACTAAAAAAAAAAAAAAAAGAAAAGGGTCAATAAAATGATTACTAAATGATATTCTGCTATACTCACAGATCAGTGCCTTATCCAGCCATCACCAGAAAGACTTCCTCCAGGTGCAGATGGAAACACTTGCAGAGATGAACAGCCTGATGTTAGAGAGAGAGGAGAGAGAGAGAGTCTAAGTGGGAGGTCTCCATCAAATCCCTCCATTCAGAGCTCAGAGAATCCTGCAGAAGAGGAGGCAGAAAGATTGTAAGAGCCAGAGGGGATGAAGGACACCAGGAGAAGAAGCCCTCTGAATCTACTAAGCAAGGTGCATATGAGCTCACAGAGACTGAAGCAGCAAGCACAGAGCCTACATGGGTCTGCACCAGCTCTTGTGCCCACGTATTAGCTTGGTATTTATATGAGATTGCCGACCGTGAGAACAGCTGGGTCTCTGACTCTCGTGCCTGCTCTTGGGACTCCCCTGTTGGTTGGCTGTGTACAGCTTTGATAGGGTTTTTGGCTTCATCTTATTTTATTTTATTTGTCCTGCTTGGTTGTTTTTTCTTAGAAGCCCGTTCTTTTGTAATGAGAGACAGAAAGGGAGTGGATATGGAGGGCGGGGAAATGGGAAGGAACTGGGAGAAGGAAAGACGGGGGAAACTATAACCAGGACACACTGAATGAGAAGATAATCTATTTTCAATAAAAGAAAACAGTTAAAAAGAATGGACCATGTCAGAGTAGCTAAGTATGCAAGCTTTAAAATGAACTTGATTTGAATCCCAATTCTGACAATTCAAATATTAAAATGAGATAGATAGATGTCTATACTGCAGGGCTTAGACAACGCTGTGTTGACATCTATTATGATTCTTTAGGAAGACTACCTAATATTCGGATTTTCTCAGATTTATTTAACCGCGAGGTGAGAGTCTGGAAGGGCATAGCTGGATAAAGCCTGCTCTTAGATATAATACCTATGTAAGTGTTTGCATTAAGTGATCACTTGTCTTCAGTTTGGAGGAAAGGCTTCCTTCAGCTCCCTCTTAGTTACCCAGGCTGTCATGCTTTTCCTATTCTCCCTTTGTCTGCCCAGGCCTCCATCCCTCTGGTCTGTAGCAGAGAGCCACAGAGACAGACTTCCTGCGTAGCCCCCGAGGCCATAAGACTGAGCGTGCCTCTTTCAAGACTAGTGTGGCTCATAAAGTATGGGAAATGTCCCAGATCTTTTCTAAATTCTGTTTATTTTTGGCACATTGTGACTTCCAGCTTTAGGGGAGATGCCCGATGCAGCATTTTTCGCTTCCCCCTCAGTTACCCTGAACCTATTTTTGTTTCACATTTTTTCAGTATTCACACATCATATCAGCATGGCAATCTACTTATTTAAAGTTCCCCGAAGAGTTAAGCTTAAGCTATGGCTGACCCCATACAACAGATGACCTCCCCACTCCTTAGAGACACCTACCAAGAAACCTTGGAAGACGTCACAAGCGTCACACCCAACATCATGACTTTATTCCTGCCACTCGAGTTCATTAAACCCTGTGAGCCAATGAAACTGAATTTGAACTTCAACTTGGCCACGTTAGACGTTCTTCGCTTCACCTTCTTTTTAAACTGTCTAAAGATGGGCAAGATTAAAAATAAATGTATATCTTTAGGGTTATATTCATCAAATGCTCTCATGGATCTATCACTAGAGGTTAGGAGTTCCCAGAGGCCTATTTTATTTTATATTGCAACATTTCAGAATTTGAGATGTATCTTTCCTCTTTGGCGTCCTTCAATTCAGTATCCCTTATGTGTTTTCCCCCCCATATTTTAGGACCATTGGAAAAACATAATTTTTGATGGCTTGGAAGTGTCTTGCGCTTAAATATTTATTATCAGCCCCAGTGACCCTCCCTGAGACCCAGAGTTCCTTTTAAGGCCTTCCATTCTGCCTGCTGAGGTACGCACCAACAGCAATCCCTCTGAATTTGTGTGTACTTTGTATGGACGTGGTGAATTTATACTTAAGTTTTACCCCACCCTCTGTTAGCCAGGACATTTGTGGAATTCTTTCCACTTCTTAGGACCCTCGGATGCTGCTGTTGAGACAGTGACCTTACAAAGTGACTGCCGTGCTCAAATTAGGCGACGCATAGGAAAGACTTTCCTGCGTCCTACAATGGCAAACAAGGGCGTTGGAGCATCCCTTGGCGTCTGTCACTCTAGTGTGGGCTCCCCCTTGCATGTCTACGTGAAGGTTCCATTCAGTCTAAAACTAAGCTGTTTAAAGATAAACTTGTTATTATTTCAGTGAGCTTAATTTGTTTTATTCAAGGCTGACATGTTTCAGATAGAAGATTTATTTTTGCCTCCGTTACCATCCCTAGCCTACGTTTGCAGCAAACTGTAAGTTAAGGATTTAGTTCCCGGTCCTGGGTCTGACCTTGGTCTTCATTTGACCTTGAGTAAAGTCGCATCTCCCGGAGAGCAGCCTGTCCAGACAGAGAAGCATTGCCTACAGTTTACCTTGGATTTGAAACGTTTCCCCAGTGATTTATGGCTCTGACATGGTCTCATTTTATATAACCCCAAATCAAGTCCTATTTGTTTCCCTTGGCCCCTTTGAAATCACCAGAACTGCTTACTCCATAGATTCAGGCGAATCCCCCAGGATGTATCCCCTTCTGCGCACCGAGCCAGTTGTGTTTCGTTGATTAGCTCTGTGATCTTCTGGGCTCCTTTGGGGGGTTCGGTGCTTATGTTCTCATGGTAGAATGTTCCAAAACCCGACAGACAGAAAAGAGAAACTGGCTGCTGCGCTCAGTTCCTACATGTTGAGCTCTGACTTAGCTCTGTGTCTGTAGTGATCCGAGAACACATAGCATGAACCACACAGGGAGTTTAGAGCTGTGGTCTTCTACCCACACGAGCTAAGAGTCTTGTCTACTGAGGGTATTCAATCAACTCCCAGGCCCATTTCCTTAGCTGTGAAGGCCTGAGTAAATTTGTGTCTTTTTACACCATTGTGCCTGGTCAGAACCTTGATCAGCCTAACCGGTCATTTCCTATGGAGGAGATGAAAGAGAAGAATCTGAGTCTCTGTCTTTTTGGAAATCCCAGTTTCTTTAGAGAGGTGTAGCCTCAGTAGACAAATGAGTTGTCAGTTATCAGTGAACGGTCCCGAGGCTTAATGTAAAGGGACCTGCAGAACTTCCAAGTGTCTGGAGTTAAAGTCTGATGGTTCTTATGCAGGACAGATCAGAAGCTGTGCTATACTTTGTTGTAATACATAAACAAGCTTGTTATGTATTGTCTGTTAGCGTTGTCTGATCGGTGGGTGGGTGTCGCCTCTGAGGGAGTGGGAACCTTACTGGGACAGCTTGAGTTGGGGTATGGAAAAGGCAGAACACCAGACCCTGTGAACCATCGTGATTCCCCCTCCGTGTTTGTTCATGCAGTGAAATTTCGGTAAAACATTGAGATAAATGAATGACCTGGGACACTGAGGGAAGAGTGATTAACGTCCTGGCTTTTGTCCTGACAGTCTTTGAGCTGAAGTTCCTCCATGGTTGGATTATCTGTTCTCTGAACATTCAAATCCATCTGTGCCCTGGCTTGTTTTCGGGAAGTGTATCTGAGATCCTTAACGTAGTGTGACTGACTTCCAAGGCGACCACCTTCAAAGACCGCATCCTTGTTTGATTTTTGGATGACTTTCTTACTCGAGGCCCAAGTGACCGAGTTTATTACTGGCGTGTTGGCAGGTGTATGCGCGCATTCTTCTGGAGTAAAGGGGGATTTAAATGTGATCGTCCAGGTGGTCTGCTTTAGATTTGAGGGAACATGTTTCAGCTCCGCGGAGATGGGGGAGCTGTACTCAGAACTGACAGGATGCTTTAAAGCATTTCATATCAGCCTTTCTTTCTTGTTGAATTTTCTAAACCGGCCTTAAAAAAAATCTTGGAATGCTTTGCGGGGCTCGTTCTCTCTCAAGTGTCAGGTTTTCCTCTTTTCCTCCCGATCAGCATTTCTAGTATTTTTCTCTGAGGTAAGTGGAACGCAGAACTGTGTCCATGTGCCCAAGTGAGGTAGAGAATTTCAGATAATTGAAACAGAAAATGAAGTTTCTTCACAATTATCCAAATTTAACATTTAGCGAATACATTAAAAAAAAGATCCTGTGTGAAATAATTTAGATTCAAAACTCATTTTCTGTATCACATCACATAAACACAGGGTGTGTGTATCATTTTTAGGTTATAAGAATTTTTAAAAACTGTACTGGAGGTTTAATTGATTTTTATTCTGGTTTGTTTACTGAATGAGGAGAATTTAGCCTCGTGTCCCTTCCTTATCTCATGCTTGTCTCAGAAGCAGCTGCTGCTGCCTTGGCCACATTACAGTGTTTATTTGCTGATTTGGGGGCAGTAATGTCCAAACTGAGCCACAGGGATCCAGAACTTCTTGGAACACAGGGCTGCAAGCCATGGATCATGAGCCTGAGGCACCTGTGGGTTTAACACCCTTGCTGGTCTGTGGCTCCTACTGACTCCGAGCCCAAGGGAGGGTCTGAGGACCCAAAGCACAGCTAAACTAAGCCAGGGCTCACAGTTTCTAGGAAGTAAGGGGTCACTTCTGGGCTGCTTCTAAGATTTAGAGACCCGTGGCCTATACACATTTGCTGTCTGGTTGGCTCCAGGGCTTCTTTAGAAGAGAGAACAAGGCATTCCTGACCAGATGGCTATTTCTGGAGTCTTTCCTTCTTGAAAGTCTTGACTCAAATTCAGTCTAAAGTCTTCCTGCTAAACATTCATTCGCTTAGGAGCAAACTTTCCTCTTGGTAATAATTCAGTCTTCCACCATTCTCAGCCTCCTTCAAAGGGCGAGAAGACTCAGGTGAGGTGCGGTATGAGGCTGCGCTAATGTCTTCTTTGGCTCATGAGCCTACACAGTGGTTCTCAACCTTCCAAATGCTCAAGCCCTTTGATACAGTTCCTCATGCGATGGTGATCCCCCAACCACAAAATTAATTTCATTGCTATTTCATAACTATAATCGTGCTACCATTATGAATCATAAGGCAAATACCGGATAGGCTGGATGTCTGATCTACGACCCCTGAGAAAGGGTCATTCGGCCCCCACAGGGGTCATGGCCTAGCCTGAGTACTGCTGATGTGGAAGTTTCCTGTCCTGTAGTCTCTCCTTGCTCTCCTGTCTTACACTCTGCACCCTCTGCCTGACAGTTTATCTTTCATCAGCCCAAGCCGTCCGGAGGCTTTGTTCTTCTTGAGCACACCCATTGTTTCTTGCTTCTCTCTTTTGGAAGGAGTGGCCCCTTCACCTGAAAAAGCTGCTCGTGATTTTCCTCTCACAGTCTCCCGACTCTCTGTCTTCTGCTCTGATGTTCCCCCAGAAACCTTTCCTGAGTCTGCTAACTTCATCCTTGTCCTTGCTTATGCTGGTGCACACTTGATAGATTTACTACCCTCCGGGGGGATCTGTCTCTTCACTGGACCAGGAGTTCTTGTAAGACAGATGTTCCTTGATTTAGAAACTAGAGGGCTGTGAAGACAAGTAATAAATGCTGAACAAACCAAACTAACGAACAACAATGGTACTGGATGATTTTTTTGGTTGGGACGTTGTATCAGTGGTGAGAAGAAAGCCAGCCACATCAGAGATGGCACCATTACAGTATCTGTGAAACATTAGGGGAGCCAGGCAGAGTG